CCTGAAAGTTTTTTTGAGATACAAATTTACCCTGTAAATTTAAATTCATAGTAATTTTGCCCCATCATTAAAAAAAACTAAAATTGACCCTTAAAATAGTGATATTGACTGTTAACATTTTCAAACATAAAATATGAAATTACTATGGTTTTAAATTTTCAAAATGAATTTGTATTCAAAACAATTTCTGGATACCCAATGTTCTTAAGCAAAAGCTTCTAACAGGACAATTTACTCACCTTCCAAAATTCAAAATTCAAAAGTGGCGTCGTGGTATAAAAGAATGGGGAGAGCGTAATAAATAAGGAAAGAAGTAAGAGCCACACAAGGTTGAGAGGGGGGAGGCTCTAATTACCACAAAATAATTTAAAATAATCTTAAAAAAGGGGGAAAACAGAGGGGAGGGGGCACGTGTTAGGGATGATTGGCTACGGAGGTGAGGGGCGCGGCGTGAGCGGTGGGATGATGGGTCGTCAGGAGATGCTTGTGAATGGGAATGACTTTGTGGCTGTGGGGCCCACTCGAGTGTTTTCAATTTCAGGCCTTTTGCTTTCCTTGGACGAGAACGCTGCCTGGGAATCTATGGTCCAGATTTGATCCGCCCACACTGTTCCCACGTCAGATCTGAATTCATTAATACGCCCTTCCGCATCCCTGCCCTCTCCTAACACATGCCTACTTTTTGGATTCTCCTTCCACCATCCAAAAAACCTGGTTCCAATTTTAAAAAATATCTACTATATTAAAATATTTTATAATATACTCAGTATTTAGAAATATTTTTTTGGTTTGTCAAGCATCGTGAGGTATTTCTTTATCTTAATATTGAACACACTAAAAAAATACTTTTTGATTGTAGGAGGCACTTAAAAAATATTTCAAAGTACTGAATGTATTAAAAAATATTTCGCGGGTATTAGATGCATCACCAAATACTTTAGGGTGTTAAATATGTCCGAAAAAATATTTTGAAATATTGGATACACCTTAACCCAATCTTCAAATTATAAGACATTTGATGGAACAAATCATAGTTTTAATAGTAACTTTATTATATAAAAAGTAAGTATGTGAGAGGACTTTTGTCTCGATTTATATGAAAATTTTTTAATTGATTTTAGGGTATCCAAACACCCTCTTAAATCAGAGATGTCAGTCCAAGATTTTGAAACAATGGCATAATCCATGCATCTCGCCAATCGTATCATTTTTACACCATCGGGGATAGCTCATGACTGTGAATTCAGAATTTCTTTGCAAACTCACTATTGCAAGGTGGTGATTGTAACTTTTCATGAATATGAATGTTCCATTTATCAATTACTGATGAAACTTTGCTTCTTTTTTTTTTAAGGATCGACAAATCAAATAATATTTTTATCCCAAACACCCCCTTAAATCAAAATACTATTCATATAAATAAGAGAGAACCCTGCAAAAAGAATTTTGAATTTACTAAACCTTATCAAGTTTGATAATAATACTTTGACAGGTTTTGATAACATTAGATTTACAAATAACAATGTATTTTTATTAAAATTTTCTATTTGAAATTTAGTAGTTTCAAACCTTTTCTGTTTGTGAAATTTTTTCTCTAAATAATCATATCAAAATATAACAGGATTGAGATACCTCTAGCATCCTAAAGCCAAGTTAAATAGTTAATTTTTTTTTTTCAAACCACCTTTTTATTATGTAAGAAATAAGATGAAATGAGACTTTATTTAGGACTAATCTCAAACTCTCAAATAATCTTATGTATTAAATGGAAGGAGTATATATTACTTTTCCACATATTTGTAAAAGACATGGATATTGTAGTAACAGATAGGAAAATAGCTAATTATCACTCTTAATTTAAGGGGCCTTATCAATTATTTGAAAAGTTAGGAAAATCGGATTTACATCTACTTTGAATTTTAATTAATCAATCATATTATAATTCAATGATAAAATGTTATAATGAGTAATGACCTAATTATGAGGGCAAATCAATAAGATCACATGGATGGTTAAAACCTAAACTTCAAAAAGGGACGATGTTTCCAGGCTGGCTGGTTTAGAAGTTTAATAATTAATAGTTTAACACACATGAATTCTTTCACCTAGCACATTCAATAAGATGGGCAAAAAAAAAAAACATTTATAAAGTTGGACTAAAAACCCACATAACATAAATTTCACCCAAAAAAATCGTATATTTATGTATTTACTCTCATTAATTATATGATTATGGGTCATTTTTGCCATAAAAATAATTCGCAAAAAGATCGATGGACATCGTAAAAAGATATATGGACATTGTAAATTTCTCTTCTAACCTAATGTTACCCCCAAAATTATTAATTAAAAAATGAGTAATGTTATTCTTGTCATTAAAAATGTTAATGATCAACATTAGTTTTTTTTTTTTTTTTACATAAATGGCGACCTGACTCATGTTCTAATGCTTCTAAAGTAACATATAACCAAAATAATTTCTGAATATATACAGTTTTTTTTGTTGTAAATACTATTAGGATAAAAATAACCTTTAACCCTTAATTATATTTACTAATTTACATGTTAAATATGAGTCTATATTATTTATTTACCTCTAAAATAAGGCTTATTCCAACTTAAATGTATACAGTATACCTCCAGTCCCCCAAAATAAAAATTGACCAAGGTTGATCCACTTTCACATTTGCTTGGGCCATTTCTGAGCAAACTACTTTAGGCCCTCTCAAACTCAACTTCATGTTCTCATACTTGTTTGATTCATGGAATTCTTTTTATCTGGTGTTATAATGAGGGAAAAAATTACCTTGACTTTGTTCATACAAGGGTCTCTTGAAGTATCATACCAAAGAAAAATCAAATATCCAATTTTAAAAATTAATCAAGTCAAAATATCCACAATGTATATACTAATTATGGATTCTAAAGTTTAGTCATCTTATTGCTTCTTATAATAAAAAGAGGCATAGATTCATAATAATAGGCCCTGTTTATAACTCACCATTATGATCTTTTCATTTTAGGTCAAGGGATCTAATAATCTAGATACATACTTAGAAACTTATTAATGAAATTCAAATATAACCATTTAGTTTTTTTAAAAAAACTTTTCTCCTTTTTTTAGTTTGAGAAGCTTCCAATTCTCAACCCTGTTCATTTGATTTTTCAACTATTTTCTGGGGACAATATCTATTCTCCACTTCAAGTTGTCTTTCTTTCTTGTCAGTGAAAAATAAAATCTTATTAACTATGTTAAACTTTTAATTATTGTATATTGTAAGTTAAACAACAAAATGATCAAGTTATTCCTTAAAGTAGTACTTATTTCTAACTTTACCAAAGTACTCTATTCCAAGAAAGTGTTAATGATTTAATATACTAATATTGCATTTTTTTTTTGTCAACTACTAATATTGCTTTTTTACCACAATGGTGATTAGGTCAAGTGAAGGAAAATCAACTCTTTTTTAGACAATATATTTAAGCTATTAAGACTTGGCTCTAATAATAAGAGACTATTGCGGGACTTTGTAGGGTTTAGTGCATCCCAACAAAAAAAAACAAGAGTTTGCAGGGTTTGGTTCAAGATTTTGTGACTTCAAGGACCCAAAAAAAATTGAAGAGATGTCAATAAAAGTTGATCTAATTAATAAGGAGTCAGCCCATAACCTATAAGGTAATGAATTCGAATCCCGCTATCAATATGAAGACTTTATTGGTAAGTGATATGTAAGTATCTTTGTAAGCATTCTCTAAATCTGATGGTATACCTTAATCCTGATAAGCTGTTGGAAGTTGGAACTCAATTCACTTAAACTTTTTTTTTTTTGTAACAAAAGAAAAACTTGAAGAAGAGATAAAAAGAGGGAAGGGAGACAAAAGATAGTGGGGAGAAATTGAAGAATGCTAGAGGAGATAATTTCAATATTTATTTAATTCCTAAAAAGTTTGATAACTGAGACAACTTGTTATTTATACAGCCCTAAATATAATTATTTAAAAAAATACTTTTAACAAAAATCTCATAATCCTAAGGAAAGATTGCAAGTATACTATGTCAAGAAGCAACTCATTCCAAGATAGATGCCAACAAGCTTTCAGTCAACATATTGCATCAAGACATTTCTTCCTTTCTTAACTTTTTCTGTGTCTTATTTTAAATTAGCACATAGGATAGAATTAAACGATTTTATATTACTTAATTGTTGTCCATTATTTTTAGCTTCTGTTTATTATTTTATTTATTAATGCAATCTGATCCTTATCCAAAAAAAAATCCCTAAGGAAAAAAAATAACTTTAACTTATTTTTAAAATAAAAAATAATTTTAGTATGTACTTCTCTGGTTCTTAATATAAAACCTATTTAACTAATTTGATTAGATTAAAGAAGTTAGGTAAGTTAGTTAATATGATATGTTTTTCCTAAAATATCTTAATCATTTTCATTATATCCTCTCTCCTCTCATACTTGATTATAGTTGAGGAGTATCAATAAGGGTGATTTGGAAAAAAATTGATAGATATTAAAAATAGATCTTATATTTAAGACCAAAATCAACTCCACAATTAGGTCTTATATTAAAGACTGGAGGAGTAATAAATATAATATGTATAACATTTATATTAATAATTATTTTTTCACAGGATTTGACAATATTTGCATTAAAAAAAATTTGATTTTTACTCTCAACTTCTAAAATCTCAAACTTCTTTTATCAAAACTGAAAAAAAAGGAACACAATTAGGATTAAAACCGACTCGAGAGTTAATGCATCGGCTGCTTCAACAAATTAGAAACGCTTCAATGGAATTGCAGGCCGACTTGAATAAGTCTGTTTAGACGACAACAGTCCAAGAAAGTTTCCGAAAATATATGGGCCTGGTGGTGTTTCGCTGAAGACGACAGTAAGACGCGTCTGGGTTGGGCACTTGGGTTGACTTGCAAAGAAGACTGACTATTCTACGTTGATTTTGGAGGAATTGACTTCTGACTGCGAAATCGGACCCATGGAAGAAGTCTTGGCCTTCGGCTTCGGGTTATGGTTCGATCGCAAATTGCAAACTGAGTGAAGTTTTTGAGTTCGATTAGTTCATCCACTCGGCTTCCCCAATATTACTAGACGAAAAATATCCCCACAGAAATTAACCCAAAGGGGGAAAAAATTCCCTTGCGTTTTTTTTCCACCTTCGTCCCTTCTGCAAGCCTCTTCTCCTTACTCTATCGTGGATTTCAAGAAATGGGAACACCTAACTTGTTTGATTGATGTCTTGAATCGTTCCTGTCTTATGGTCTCTGTTAGATCGTTTCTGCTCGAGCTATAGACGATAGAGGAGTGTTCCCGTCTTGTTTTGGGGATTCTGGATTTCCAAGTTTTGGAATTTAAGAGGGTAAGATCTGGCAATGGCTAGAAGTAGTAGATCATTGCTTCACAAATTTAGGTATTGCCACCCCTTGTATTACCTCAAGAGACCAAAGCGTCTAGCTTTGCTCTTCATTGTCTTTGTTTGTGCCTCTCTGGTTGTCTGGGATCGTCAAACTTTAGTCAGAGAACACGAGGTACTACTTCACCTTCTTTTTTATATGATTTCCCCCCTGACTTGCTCAATTCGGTTGTCTGAAGTTTAAGAAAGAGAATATGAAATGTCAATTCTAAATATAGGACGCTCTTTGGTGGTTGTCAACAGCTTGAAACTACTAAAACTGGATCAGTTTTTTCATTTATTGCCCCGGAATACAAAATTCAAAATTTGCATTATGCATCGTTTCAACTTCAATGATCATGCTTGCTCAGTTACAGCAGAATTAAGTGACTTGATTCTTTGCCTCCCAGAGTGTTGACGTTGATCATGTTGTCACCTGTTTTAGAGGAATCCTATGTTGTATTTGGAGATCATAAATTTTTTCGGTTCTTCTGGACGTTCACTTGTTTAATAAATTGCCGGCAAGTATTTTATTCAATTGGTGTCGGGCAGAAGAAGCATAGCGGCTGACATTGCTTGTTGATCTGTTACATATAACATGGCATGATACTATAAACTTCGATATCTACAATTGAGGAAAGTGAAGGGGCAGGGTGTGGTCAAATTTAGGTCTTATGACGAAAATAAAGTTTAGAGCTCTGCTTATGCTGAGGAATAGCTTCCCCTGAAAAATTTTCGTTACAGTATCACCCTTTCACACGTTTTCAAGGGTACAATTAATAATAATTAATTAATTAATAATTGACTTCTGAAATTCTAATACTGCATGTGATCAACTTATTCATGTTTAATGCCTTTCGGTTTGTTTTACATCTTGATTATTGGTAATGCATTTCTCTGAATCTGAGGAAAAAGCTATCCTCAAGGTACTAAGGCATTGGACTACAGAATCTGAGCAGCTATCCAGTAGAGTTTGAAAAATTTTCTGTTGCAAATGGATATGCAAACAGATTATTTTAAGATTAATAGGCGCTATGAAGATGTCTGGCCTTCTGCTTTTCTGTTTTCCATTTGAAAGTGTGGAGAGAGCAAATTTCAGCGGAAAACTAAATTAATATTTTGTGATCTATCTTCCAAAGATGCTTGAAGATTGTTACACTGGAAATTTTTAGTTTTACACTAAGAAGTTTGAGGGATACAAAAAACTATTCATGCGTTAGTATAAGAAGTAGCAACTAAAAATTATGTTAAATGAATAGAAGGGTTTTATTCATTGAATAGAACAATATTCTAAACTTGGTGATTAGGATATGGTTTGATGTTGATTATGATTTCATTTTTTTTACGTTTGACTAGGATTTGATTGTGAATAATTAGGATTAATAGGATACGAACCAGACACCATGCCTGTGTCCGTATTTTCTAGCTAATGATTTGTATTGGGGGCACTGTTGGATTCTGATTTAGTTGTTGTTCTTTTGAATTTCGATAAGAAAATTTCTAAAAGAATTTTAGTCTTTCAACTTTTTGGTAGTTTCATAAGCAATAGTGTTCAAATAGTTAAAAATGGAGATGTATCTGTATATGACATGCATGTACATGTACCGGGAAAGGTGTGACGATTCCCATTGCCATTTGACACTTCATATTCTACTGTGTCGTAGTGTTCAAGCTGGTGCTTCTTAGGTTAAATGTTGTGTTGTATCAAAGTGCATGAGCATGTGAAGTTTCTATGGTTGTTTGACCTGTTATTGTGAGTTTCTTGTAGCAAGTAATGCTAATGTGGTTGAGATGTCAGATAATTATAGCTTCTTTTCATTGTAAATTTCTTTATCACTCATTTTTGGTGGACAGAAGTAGTTTGTTGACTACTTTTGGCATCAAAATAACTTCAATTTATTTCCAGTATATAATTTTTTTGTGAAATTCAGGATGAAGTTCACAAATTACGGGAGGAAGTGGCTCATTTGCAGAATCTGGTATGAAAAATTAATCTTTTGTTGGGCTTAAAAATAGTAAGATGATTAACCTTGTGCTCTGGTCTTGAGGTCCTTACCTTCAAATAGCTGAGATCTTTCTATTTTGTTTGGTTTTATCTTGTTTTTGTTTTCTTTTATTATCTTTTAAAAGAAATTCATACATTGCTCATTCTCTTATGCAACCAACAAAGGGCGACTATAAAGGCCTTACTGTGAGTACACTTGGCATCTCTTATGTGAATCCACCATAAGATAATATTGATTGACCTCCTCCTTTGTGAATTCTCTTTCCCAATTCTCTTACATAATGCTCTATCCTGGTGATGCTTTTTCTTGTAGTTCTTTGTTTGGTGCGTGCAGGCCTCCATATTCAATTTGATGTGTTGTAGCATCTCGTTATTTAAGAAAAAAAATTTTCTCTATGAGGGCTCAGTTCTTATACTAATTTCAGATGGAAGAGTTAAGTAATGCCCAAGGTGGCACAATCAAGGACATTGATCCTAGGAGGGAAACTATTTTGTCAAATAAAGGGGCACAAGATGATCCTATTGACGTTCAGAGAAGGGAAAAAGTAAAAGAAGCTATGCTTCATGCTTGGAGATCATATGAAACATATGCGTGGGGCCAAGATGAACTTCAGGTGCTGTTAATTCCCTTTACTTACCATCAAAATTTATATTTAATGATTGCTTTTTTCGTTTTCTCCCTTGTGAACTTCTTGCCCTTCATCCAAATTTTGGGTTGCAAAGTTTAGAAGTTCTACTTCTTTCATTGGGAGTAAAACTTATGAAGTCTTCCAGATTAGGATATGAGTTACTCATGGCTTCCAGCTTTAATATGAAAAATAACAATTCTGTGGTTTATGCTTGTGTCATGGAAAAAGAAGAGACATGAAAATGGACATTTTTGTGCCCTTTAGATCGGACACTTTTTCTGTGGCATACCACCAATTTTATTTTATGAGTTATGACCAAATTATGAGGTTTTAATGTGGTCATTCAAATATATTCATCAAGCAAATGTATGGCCTTAAAATTCTACGTGATGTATCTTTCTTATCTTTTATGTTACATATTTCAAGATTAAAGGTTATTTTCTTGGTTCTACCAGCCCCAGTCAAAGAATGGTGTTGATAGCTTTGGTGGTCTTGGAGCAACCTTAGTTGATTCTCTTGACACATTGTATATTATGGGTCTCACTGAGCAGTTTCAGAAAGCAAGAGAGTGAGTATAACTTCTGAATCTGTGACACTGAGTTGTTTTGTGCATATAATATATATATATGTTTCGCTGGCATCTATAGCGTGAGGTAGACTTGTCAGTTGTATTTGGTTAAGGTGCTTCTGCGTTGACAAATAAGAAATATGTCTTTTTCTTTTAAATTTATTCATTGGTGAATCTGTTCTTTCAATCAAATTTCTGATTGAAAATCAATTTATAAACTCTCCTCGAGGCACTATTCACTTGTTTAACTCCTGTTGATTGATTTTTTGGCATAATTTTTTCCCTTTTGTTCTATGAAGGTCTTGAATCTTTCTCATAATTTAAATTTAAGTGGGTAGTTCACCTTTTTTTTCCAGTGGCTTGTTATGTGAATCTGTTTAATGGTTGACTGTGTTCCTCATGGTTATTATTTCTCGTGCACATTGTTCTGTAACAGATGGGTTGCAAACTCGCTGGATTTTAACAAAGATTATGAGGCTAGCGTTTTTGAGACAACTATAAGGTTGCTTTATAAGGTTTACATTGCAGTTGATGTTCATTCACTGTTAATTTTATTTGAGTTTTGACCATGTATTCTGTTTCTGATATTTTCTTTTTATTTATTTCTGCCAAAATACAGAGTGGTAGGTGGACTCCTCAGTGCATATGATCTTTCCGGAGACAAAATTTTCCTTGACAAGGCTAGAGACATCGCAGACAGATTGCTGCCTGCATGGGATACACCTACAGGAATTCCTTATAACATAATAAATTTGGCACGTGGAAATCCACACAATCCTAGTTGGACTGGGGTATGTTCTTAGTATTCTATACGTGCAGTTCACCTTTACTAAACATTTGGTATCAGTCAAGGATTCCATGTAGTCCTCATATAACTTTTAAGCATGTGACTGTTTAAAGAATACCCATCTTTTGAGGCCATTGATAAGTCTTATATTGATGAAAAATTGAAAACTTTTGTTACTAGCTTGATGAAACTCTGCTATTGTTTCTGTTTGCCTTATTTCTTTTTAGACAAGAATCGATTCTGCTAGCGTGATTGCATTGGCTCAGCATTTATTTCTGAAGTTTTGTAATTTTTTAATTAGAATCTGTTATATCATTTTGGTAGATTTGTTTTTAAGGCATGAATTTTGTGACCAGTTGAGAATGCAGACATTGGTGGTACTAGTTCTGTGTCTGTGTGGTTCTGGGTTAATGGAACTTTCACGTTAGGCATTAGTTTCTGATTTCTGATTGTCATTGTATTGGCTATATGCTGCATGTAGTTTATCAGTATATCTAATTCTTTTTAATCTTCTCTCTTGTTTCAAGGGTGAGAGTATTTTGGCGGATTCTGGCACTGAACAACTGGAATTTATTGTTCTTTCCCAAAGGACTGGTGATCCAAAGTATCAGCAGAAGGTTTTTGTTCTTCCTCCATTCTATAGTTCCTATTTTTGTTTGTCGCTTGGGTAGGGGTGTTGCAGGTTTGTTGTTTAATATTGTATGTATGAGGATTAAGAATTTGCAATTCCCGTCATGTGTTAATGGGTTTAATCCCTCTTTCTCTACCAAATTTGAATAATAATGTACAGCATGTAGTATCATTGCCAGATAGTTTATAGTTATGCTGCTAGCCTTCTTTGTGCTTGTTTTGTAGCCCAAATGGTATTTTGTAAAAGGGAAAAAATTAAAGAAGTTTGACGTGCTGCCAATGTTCCATAGTACTAACTGTTCTGGTATTTTATTTATTATTTATGGGGCCATCTTTTTTTAAGATATGTGGTGATTAGATCATATTCTTGCTGTTTCAGGCAGAGAATGTTATTACGCATATTAATAAAACATTTCCTGATGATGGATTGCTTCCTATCTACATTGATCCTCATAGTGGAAGAACAGCCTACTCGCCCATCACTTTTGGGGCCATGGGTGACAGGTATTGACATAGAATTAAGATTGGTGCACTCTGATGACATCTTTTACATAATGTTAGTGCAGTAAATGTTCTGCATTTTAAGATGGTCTACATTGTAAAATTCTATCATCTTCCCATGTATTTGTTAATTTCGTTTGGACTGTGATTGATACAATTATCTTGCAGCTTTTATGAATACTTGCTCAAAGTTTGGATCCAGGGGAATAAAACTCCAGCTGTAAAACTGTATAGGTAGGAATACTTTATCTCCTCTATTTTTCGCATTACATTGCCCATTATTTGTTGAGGAGTTCAAGCTGTAATCCTTCAGGTCAAAAAAAAAAGCGCTGTAATCCACTCGTTAATTGAATGGTGGAACTCAACTTCTGAAGATTGACGAAAATTAATTTTTCCTTTAAATGGAGTTTGAATGAGGAGAAAATCAATTAGAAGTATTTTAATTAATGATTTTCATTGCTTCTTGAAATATTGAAAACAGAGATATGTGGGAGAAATCAATGAAAGGTCTTGTGAGTTTGGTTAGGAGGTCAACACCATCTTCTTTTGCTTATATATGTGAGAAGAATGGAGGGTCTCTTACAGACAAGGTAGCATTGTGGTACCTTACAGTTATTGCTAGATCCATTGTTTACATGTGATGATTTGAGTATGCTCATGATTTTTCATTCAATTGTGGACATGCAGATGGATGAACTAGCATGCTTTGCACCTGGAATGGTTGCATTAGGGTCTTCTGGTTATGGTCCTGAAGATTCGAAGAGGTTTCTGTCACTTGCAGAAGAGGTATGGCTTAGTTGCTTCTTAAAGATACAGTAAAGGACTTCTTTTGACTGACTCTTCTGGGCCTTGACCAGGAAATTAGTATACTGGCACAGCTCACTGGTTAATGATATGACTTCTGTTGGTCCAATTTAGAGATGCTTGGTTTACCTCAAATTTTGATGTCAGCAATTTTATTTGTGTGATGCTTCCTGACACCATGAAGTCTTGAAACATATTATGATGAGTGGATGTTGGATCACCTTAAATGGGTGGTGTGTGTTCAATATACAGGATGGGGCCACATCAGGTCCCCCCCCCCCGGGGGGGAACAGAACGACTTTCATCCGATGTATTGAAATGATTGTTGATATTCCTGTTGTGTTGAACTGAAAGTGGCTGTAAAAATTTTTAGGCTGGTTTGTAATATGATAACACTCTGTACACTCAATACCTGCTTTACCGTTCACTTCAAGATCACCAAGTCCAATGCTAGCTTGTTGCTCTGTGTGTGTGTGTGTGTGTTTGTCTTTTACTGTGATGAGGAAATATGACCGGAATGGTTACTGATAATTGTCCTCTATTGGGAGCGGATATTTGCGCACTGATTCTGATTTATACAAGGTCATATAAGTGCTCACCAGCTGAGTTTGAGAATGACTATATATGCTTTTACTTTGCAGCTTGCTTGGACATGCTATAACTTCTACCAATCAACTCCCACTAAATTGGCTGGAGAGAACTATTTTTTTCATGAAGGCCAGGTTAGTTTTTAGTTCACTTGTTATTTGCAATTTACTTTTTTCCTGGTTACATAACCATTTTAAAATTTTGAATTTGTTTAGGACATGGGTGTGGGTACGTCATGGAACATTCTAAGACCAGAGACAGTCGAGTCGCTCTTCTATATGTGGCGTCTAACAGGCAATAAGACCTACCAAGAATGGGGTTGGAATATTTTCCAAGCTTTCGAGAAGAACTCGCGCATAGAGACCGGATATGTTGGACTGAAGGATGTAAGCACACCTCAACTTCACATCTAATTGCTCATCTGTATGCATTAAGCAACCAGTCTGCATATTCATATAGCTACGATCATGTTTCAGGTTAATACCGGTGTCAAGGACAATAAGATGCAGACCTTCTTCCTAGCTGAGACTTTGAAATATCTCTATCTTCTTTTTTCACCCCCATCAGTTATCTCATTGGATGAATGGGTATTCAACACTGAAGCACACCCTCTGAGGATTACACCTCGGCTCGATGGAGGTAAATTAGGGAACCTGAATGAGAAACAAAAATCAAAATTTAGAATAGGTGGCCGGAAGGAAGGACGGTCGGGTTAGAGATACGTTCTACATTACCGTACGGGGTTGAGCTTGAACCTCCATCTTTATCAAGGTTCAGGGGTGAGAGCCAATTTGTTCCATTGTAGAGATTGTAAGACGTTGGCAAATCCCCATGGCAGATTATAGCGGACATGGCGGAAACTTTCCATTTCTGGGAAGCCATTGTATTTTGATTGTAAGTTGGGGGATCATTCTGCTGCAGATTGGTATGTGACACAGGAAACAGGTCTGCTTTGTAGTTCTTACAAACAAGGTTTATTCAGAACGACGTGATCTTTGTTGATGAATGGCCTTTCTTAAAAACTTAAGGGGCTGTGCCCTTTTGATTCTAATGATTATTTTTTCTGAGAATTAAATTTGGAAGGTTAGTTATACAATGTATGAAATTGAGGCATATATTATGCGCCTTCAATAGAAAGACAGTTTTCTGCTTATCTACTTCTCTATATGGCTTGGTTGTTCTTCTACTTTTCTTTATGGCTTGGTTGATTAAGGGAAACATCAAGATGTGTGGTTGGTGCTTCATGCAAAATTTTGACTTGACCTCAGAGAGTGATGAGCCATCCTACTTCCGAGCCTTCTTGTTCTTTATAAATAGGTTCGCACGTAGTATTGTCTTTTAGGTACCCATTTCTGGATGGCTGTCTATTTGCGAAGCATGTTTTTACCGTCCTATCCTATTAAGGTAGAAAGAATTTTTTTCCCCCTATTTACAAATTACATTATTAATTTTTTTATGTGAATATATTATCTCCTAACATTTATATAGGAGCTTATTGAATATTTAATTTGGTTGTAAATATAAAACGTAAATTCACTTTGTCTTTAATATTTATTTATTTTGTCCTCAAATAATTTTTATGGTGATTACACATTTAATATTCACAAATTAGTTATTTATTTCTTATATTAAAGATGGGAGGTAGTATTATTTTAGTTTTCATATAGATTGTTATTATAAATTATTTATTTTCTTAAAAAGTGTAGATTCTACCTTTAGTGTTTAATATAAGGCAAAGTTAACCAATTTAGAGAGATTAAAAAAATTTTAAAAAAATACTTTATAGATTTACATTTATCATTTTTTTAAAAATTAATTTAGCTGATTTGTAAATTGATATATAATATAACACATAAGTATTTTAAAGAGATTATATAACATACTTTTCTGGTCTTATTTATAGGAAAGAGAAGGATATTTTTTGATTTTATTTATAAGGCACCAAAAGAAATTTTTTATATGGATATACAATTTTATCTTTTATTTATTATTGTGTTGATTTTGTTTACACGAGATATAATGTATATTAAATAGAAATAAAGTTGAAAAGTTACTGAATTTTAAATAAGAATTAATAAAATTTAAGATTTTTTCTTAATAGGATAAAAAAAATACTATAAGTAATTTCTTGGCTTCCTCAATTTTTCTAAATTAATTAATTAAGTCTTATATTACAATTTAGATAAATAAGGCTAGAAAATTGCTAAATTTTCAGACACTTATTTTAAGATTTTTCCTAGTGCTCATAAGTAAAACAGAACTAATGAGTACAATGGAACTGCAAAAGCTGAAAGGAATCAAATGGGAGCAAGTTCCCGTGGTTCTCCGGAGGTTCGAACATCAGCTGTGAATCTATACCCATGTTATGAAATTGAATAAGTGAGCAATTCAAGTAATTACTGGTATGCTGCTAAATAATCTCCCAATCAACCAACACACACGTCAGTCTGTAAGTGTCGAGATTTCATCACAAGAATCCTGAGTTCGCGCACAACCTCATCCTGATCCCTCTTGAATACTCACAACTTCGCAGTTCTTGGTGAAGATCCAATTTTTTCACGAAACCACACATCCAAGTACCACCATTATCCCGAATGAATCCATCACAAAGTGGCGCGCCCAGTGTGATTAACAAAGTCAAAAACATCCAGTTGCACATACTGTTAGCTTTACCACGACCATACTGTAACTTAATGAAATGGCACTCTAATCCAAAAACCCTGAAAACACGAGGCCTCTGTTGGATAACTCGAAATGCAGGACTAGATTATATGCTGCCCTCGCAGGCATAAAACCTAATGGTATGTTACTGGGAGGGCGAGAAATGATGAGATTGTTATGGGGCATCATAACTAGCAGAACGTTATCCGACATTAGACACCAATATTACCTTCTCGTCAATTACTCCACGTGACTTTAGCCTCAATCAAGAAAACTTGAATATGTAATTTTGACCGCTACAACAGAACCGAACAAGCCAGGTAGAACCAAAACTAGATCGCAATGCTCGTAGGAGAATCAAAATGAAACAAGCAGGAATAACGAACTCCAAAGATGGAAATACACTAAGCATAATAAAAGCATTCATGCTAGAATGTAACAAGCAACTCATAATTCTCATGTTGAAATAAAATATTATCAAAATCCAAAATTTTGATAAGAAAATTGGAATTTTAAATTGTTCTAAAGCCATTAATCGAAACAGAGACTGAATCCACTAACTAGTGACCAGACACTGGCACAGCTTAGTTCATTCTCCTAATGAGCTCATTGATGAAATTCTCCCGGTTTCCAGCATCACCACCTTCAACATAGTGGTTTCTTTTCTTCTTTAGTCCACCCAAAGGTGCCCTGAGTTTAAAGGGCCAAAGGAAGTTGTTGGCCTCCTTGAAGTGGGGTCCAACTGTTATGATCTCATGGATAAGATCTTCAGTGGAGATGATTCCATACTTACCCAGTGCCTAAGGTGAGATCAAGGATGGTCAGAAGCATGCAGTAAAAAATAGTAACTATAAATAAAAATGGAAATAAACAAATACAGACCTGCTCAATGATAGAATTGTCAGTTAAAGCAATTCTCTGTTTGTTGATCTTACCATAGCCCCTCTTGTAAATGAGTTCTCTTACACTCTTCAAGTTTGGATACCTAAACAAAGACCAGAGTACTCTCATGATGAATAGAGCAAGAAACACCAGAAGCACCCCAATAACACAGGAAAAACTGCTTACCCATAGGTCACATAAGGTTCGACCCTGTGAAGCATGTTCATTGTAGCCTTGTTGACTTTAAGAAACACGCCATTGAATATCTGTTTCAGATGAACACAACAATGACTACCTCTCCTTTATGTGACACATACGAACTTCAAATTCTCAGTGAATGCTCTCTCGAATGTACAACAAAAACAAAAACAGTTTCCATAGAGCCTATGCTAAAATTTGGAGCTCGAGATACAAAAGGGTGTAACAGAGAGGAATTTAAGTTCTGCCAAGGGCTCTATTATCATTTGTAGTACCTGCCTCAAACGCAAGAGCTGCAAGATTTTCCTTGTCTTTGGGTGCATGGCATTAATACTGTTAAAGATTAAAGTCCGCATGTATTAGTTCCGTGATGTTTGAAGTTGTAGAGATAGTGAAAATAACCACACAAAAAAAAAAAAATACACACCCACGGATGCGAACAATAAACAAGAGTTTAGCCTCTGGATCAACATAAAATCCACCTTTCAGCTTTGCCTCACGTTTCAATCTAATCAACTCCTTTTCCTAAAAAGAGAAAACACGGAGAACAGTAAGGAGATACGTAGTTATTATCACAAATTTGGATTATCATCAAAAGATATGACAGGACAAGGGATATTTACCTGCTCCTGATACTCCTTGGCATACTGCTTAGCTCTGTTGTAGATCAGCTTTCGGCTCTCAGCTCTCTTCTTTTTTGCAGCTTCGGTCTCCTGTGCCTTGGCCAATGCCCATTCCTCTTCTCTCTTCCTCTTCTTCAACACAGACTCGGGAACAATTGCCTTAACCTCCTCACCCATTTCTATAGGGAATCAACAAAACACAAGGTAAGTTTATGAACAAATGTAGCGAAACTCTTGATTCCAAGAAATCAAAATAAGTATTAGACCCTGTCAATCTCATGCAAGATGACATCCGAAAAAGCTAGTTTCAATAATCTGAAACAGTAATATTCAAAATAAAAATCTCAATCAGGGAATAAGGAATCAAGTTATTCAATCCATCGTTAGCTTGTTCCAGGTACAAAACATGAAAAAAAAAAAAAAGTATATACAAGAGAGCAACAAATGGGGTCATACACCACTCTCCTAAACTAGAGTAAAAATCCGGAATTTTCCAAGCTTGCAGCAATTGAACAGGAACACCAGATAGAACCCATAAAGATAGCTAAAAGACGCATTGTAAATAAGGGCTGCCTCTGCAGATTTACTCATCATCTCTAAGACTAACTCATTCGCTACCATTTTCTCCTCTAAATGTGAAAAATTCTCCATTCCCACCACAAGGGACCAATAAATCACATGAAAGACTAACCAATGAACGCGATCGAATTGACGTAAACCCACATATACTACACATAATCGCGGATTGAGAAAAACGCAATAACACTAGGGAACTTATACATCTTTCAGAAAAGAACACTCGTCGACAAAGATTAATCTACAGGAAAAAGCATCAAGTTGAAAGGGAACACAGGTATCCAATGCCTACTTACTTAGACGATGGCTGCGGAAGCTCCACTGAATCCAAGCAAAATCTACGGCTTCGCCTGGCTTTTGAAGAATTAGGGTTTTGTAAGGACGGGTAAGCGGAGGCTATTGTGGAACGGTCCGGATTCGTGCTAGTCTGAAGATATTTCCTGGCCGTCGGATGAAAGGCCCACCGGCCCAGTTAGAGTATCCGTGCCTTGGGTCAATGACTTTGCAGGGCAAGCCCAATGTACAATTAGTTAGGCTTCAAAAAATGTAGATATATAATTTGATAACAAAATTAAAACAATTATTACTGAGAGAGGTACCTACGTTTAACATCAAACAGTATCTCGAATATGATTATCTCTAAAAGAATACTTATGAGTAGCAAAAAAAAAGCAATTACAATAAAATCTACATCTGGCCAAAAAAATCAACAGTCTGAAAAATAGAAAACATATATATACATATATTTTTTGTCAAAATATGTATAAACACATATAATAAATTATTTAGACTATTCACAAAATAACAAAAAATATATATACAGAAAATTATTTACTTATTCAAATTATTTAGACCATTATTCAAATTTCTTTCTTCAGACTCAGCATGAAGAATAATAAGTTGATGGGGCAAAAGCTTAGGTCAAATTTTTTAGAATCAACATCCATTATACTTTGCCACTAGTATTATTTTTTTCTTCAGTATTTAAAACAATTATTACTGAGAGAGGTACCTACAATTAACATCAAACAGTATCTCGAATATGATTGCCTCTAAAAGAATACTTATGAGTAGCAAAAAAAAAAAGCAATTACAATAAAATCTACATGCTGGCCAAAAAAATCAACAGTCTGAAAAATAGAAAACATATATATACATATATTTTTTGTCAAAATATGTATAAACACATAT